CCTTTTTTAATTACGGAAAATTTTATATCCGTCAATCAGCTCCACCATTTATGTTTTCCTTAACAATGAATTTGATAGTTTCGATGTGATTATGTACATTTTCTAGGATAATTTAAGTTATTTTTGAGAGATTTGAATATATGAAGTTGTTCTTTCGTGTATTTTCTGTAGAAAAGTTATATTTCAGTTAATAAAATTTTTACTTTTTATAAAAGTTAACCAAATCCTTTGGATCAGATGTTTTTCCGGATAATGACTTGTTGATATTGTGTGGAAAAATACATTGTATGTCAATGTTCAACCTCAGAGCATTTTTTTATGCATGCAAGCAGTCGGGAAAAGAGTAATTTTGATGTTTCGCAGATAATTGGTGTGTGACAAGGTGATGCTACAACTTACTTCTCTTAATATTCTGCTTTCCTTGGGCGAAAGAGTTGTGAATCAGACTAACACCAGAAGGAAAAATTGTTGCGTCTTTAAATTAGAAGCAACAGAAAGTCATATATGTGATCAAACCGATCCACATGTATGCTCACAACCTGACACTTTTATTCGATCGCGCGCTCAGTTTCCTCCTTGTAGTTTGGATATGAAAACAGGTGTTTTGTGTAAAAGCACAACCTTTAAAAATGACAGAAAGCTACACAAAACTGAGTCGTCTGAACGTGTTGGCAGTCTTTTGAGGTGTGCTAATGTGAGTAATCATTTATCCTACTTATTGAAATCAACACCTGTGCAATCAGGTAAAACAGGTACTAAAAAAATACAATTTGAACTTGCTGTCAATTCATTGATAACGATTGTATGTAATAATCTGTTCTTTCATAAAAAGGCATTTCTCATGTAGCACATCATCGACATATACCGATCACTTTTACACAAGGTTGTCGAACGTCTCTGGTGCTTACCAAACTGCCAAACTCCAGAACAAACTAACTAGATATTGTGACACCTTACAATTCAGACACAGTGGGGCCAAGGGATATCAAATATAGAGTTTAGCTCTTAACTCAATATAGGGGATGCCATATCTGCTGCAGGAAAATAAAAGTCTGTGTTAAGACTTTCAGAATTACACCAAGGTGTGTCTGAAGATATCAAGGATACATTAGAAGAAGAACAATAACTTCACTTTGCCGGCAGCGCTCTTATGAGCTATGTCCTCGTTGGGTGTTTCTATGGAAAAGATTCCCGCATCGCTTCTGAAGTTCATTTGTTAGTTAATTGATGAAAAATCACACAAAGGTGCTTCTGAACCGTATATTGTCCCTAAAGATAACAAAAATTCGTAAATGTATGCCTATTACAAAATAAATCGTTTCTGTAGCAACATTCGCCCTATTACATTTGGGATTGGCGGTGCAGTTAGATCATGATTATGGGAATATGGGTCACGAACATTGATAGAAACTTTGTACTCACATGGTTTTAGTGTTTCCAATGCAGAGGTAAGACTATACCTGACAGACATTTCCATGCACGAGTTTGACCGAATCAAGACGGTATTTACGCTCCAGATGGCATTGTTTCAAAACACCAAGGGGGATGTTTGATACAAAAAGGTGCCGACAATATAGTCACCAACACGGAGACAATTGATAGTACCGAACGTTTCATTCCATGGCACGAGCAGACTTTCCGGTTTCTCGCTGCATTGAAGACCTATTGGTGACCTACGGTTTTTGTCTGCTCTATGGTCGGGTTGTTGTCTCTTTGACACATTCCCAATTGCCATTCTCAGTTTTATTATTAATCCACAATTGATTCCGAAAAGCGTCAGATGAAAGTGAAGAGAGGTCAAGATAACACTTTTCAATTGACTGACAGTGCACCATCTTTGGCGGCTGTGTCATTATACCAAAGGTAAGAGAGGTCCTGTTTGTGTTCCGAATTCTTTCAAAAAATTAGACCGGGAAGACAAAAATGGAAAAACCCCAACATTTTTCATTGGAAAAATACCATCAGATTACTTACAGGATTAACTTTGTACCTGCAAAGGTAAATCTTTGTGCTCAAAAGCTGTGTCTGCTTTGAACAAACTCTGTCCTGCGCCGAACTTGTTCGTGCCTAAAAAGGGAAGTGTGTTGTAATGCTAATACGCGTACTGAATCCGCATATGATGACGAAGAGATTGATTCATATCCCTTTTTAATGAAGACTAGAGCTATTGCATGTCGCTTTTAAAAGACAAGTTACATAAGGGTCATGACTGATTTTCAATTACAACATAAGCAAATTGGCATTACATTGTATTATTTTCCATCACTTCCCTATAAAATTGTTGAGTCTTCACTTTTGTACCAGGATAATCTCACTAAGACAGTGTGCATGCACTAAACTGACTCTGAGTTACACTCAACCAAACGCTAAATCAATGCAAGTCACACAAAGTCTTATGATTTAACATCGCATTCGCCTCGGTTGACTGTGGTATCTTTTGTGTTATAACTGATCTATCCAGACTTTGCAAATACACAATATGTATTTATCTATAACTAGATACCAATTTTCCCAAAATACACAACCTTTTAGATGCAAAATTAAAAACACTGTTTCAGTGCTTGAATTTAGTTTTTTTTCAAAGATAGAAAAAAGATTGAAATAATTTAATGAACTGGTGTTTTATAGTTTAGAAAATAGTTCTGTAATATACTGTAGTGAAAAAGTATAAGCAATATGAAAGTTTATGGATGTGAAAAGGTCAAGGCCACTACTTCTTTTGCTGTATCATAAATGAAAAAAAAAACAGAAAGTTCCAGATCAACGCCATTTTGTAATGGCAGCTCTTCATATAAGTAGTCCAATATGTCGTTTTAACATAGTTTATAGCATATGCTTATGATTGAACCGTTTTTGTATCATTCTATTGAATAAATATCAGAAAATATCTCCTTTTTGTCCTTGTGGTTGAAATATTGATATTTTTAGGTCTGACCTTTGACCTCAATTTCAGAAAAATGTGACCAATCTGTATTTTTACGACCAAACTTTTCTTATTGTACACGTTTGTCTCTTTCCATCGATATATTATTTAGGTATGTGTTCTTCCGGAACATTAAAGTTTTAAAAAATGAACTCTGGTTGCAGTACTAGAAGCACAGGTAGATCTTTCAGGGATGTTTGTAATCATCAGAAGCATGGGCGGTTTTTCAAGGTATTTTCAGACAAGTAGAAGAACGGGAAGATCCTTCAGGGAATATTAGTCCAGGAGAAGTATGGTGGATAATTCAGGATTATCCGTGCAGGAGATGCACAGGCGTATCCTTCGCTGATATTTGGTTCAGGATAAGCACGGCGGATCCCTGAGTAAATGAGAAGCACAGGTAGATCCATCCGGGATTGTCAGTCACATTCTGATCCTTCAGGGATTATGAGTACAGGAGAAGGACATGCAGAGCCTTCGGGGATTGTCAGTCCAGGAGAACCACTAGCAAATCGTTCAGGGCTTATTAGTCAAGGTAAAGCACAGCCGGATCATTCGTGAATGTTTAGTTCAGGCGAACCACAGGCTCGAGGATGTTCTAACAAGCAGAAGCATAGGCGGATACCTCAGGTATTTTCTTAGCAGGAGAAACTCATGCGGATCTTTAAGGAATTGTCAGTCCCGGAGACGCATAGGCGGATATCTCAGTGATTGTCTGTCCCGGAGAAACACAGGCGGATACCTCAGGAATCATCTGTCCCAGAGAAGCACCGGCAGATACTTTAGTAGTTGTCAGTCCCGGAAAGCACATGCGAATACTTCACACGGATTTTCTGTCAAGGAGAAGCATGTGTAGATCCTGCACAGAATATCGGAATATAGGTCAGTCCAATAGAAGTGCAGATGGATTCTGCAAAGATTGTCTGTGCAGGAAAAGCACAGGCATCTCCTTAAGGAATTTTCTGAACAGGAGAAGCACATGTGGATCCTTCAGGATTTATTAGTCCAGGAGAAGCGCGTGTGGGTTTTTCAGGACTTTTCAGACCAAGAAAAGCACAGGCGGATCCCCTAGGTATTTTCTAATAAGGAGAAGCACAGGCAGATCCTGTAGGGATCGTCATTCCAGGAGAGACACCGGCGGATCTTTCAGGATTTACAGAAGCGGTTGTAATACATGTCATCGAGCTGATTGATGTTGGTGTCTTTAAAAACGATTCCTTGAACAGGAAGCTTAAGTTATGAAACCCTCGAAACAGCTCTCAATGTTCCATAATTTGCATTCCGTTTGAAACTGAAGGAATGACTGTAATATGTTTTCTGTCTATGAAGAAATAACATAAACAATGTGGTGCACACTGAATAACCTCATTTTTGAGGTTAATTCGAATAGACAGAAAAAATATTACAGTCATTCCTTATAATTTAATTTTAAATTCCAATTTTAAGGAATAAGTCATGAAAAACGTTGATGACGTCACGGTCACATGACAAAATTATGTATTTGAGCTGATAGACCAAAACAAATTCAGCCAATAAGAGTTAGACGTGTTACATCCAAAAATAAATTATTGAAAAGTGTCATAACCAGGAAGTACTTATTGAGGCTATTAATATGTTAAAGTATAGTAAAAGAAGTCTAAGGGAAAATTGTAAAAAAAAACCAATTTCAAATGGTCACAACTTGAAAACTACTTTAAAAAATGATTACTGTAAGTCTAGTTACTAGTGGGATGACCTGCTTTTAATTTAACTACTGGGCCAAATTAAACCAAATTTGGCCTCAATCATAATTAGGGTATCCAATACTATTTATTATGATTTAAACCTTATTTTACATGATTTCCAAAACCACAGAAGATACAGGTGAGCGACACAGGCTCTTAAGAGCCTCTAGTTGTTTTGTGTAATTATTAATTGTTGATACTCACGTAATAGCTCACGTGATAACCTGTTACATTCCTATGCATTATTTTGTAGAATTTGAAATTCTCCCCTCGAAATGAACTTATTGATAAAAGACTAACATTTTGCAATTCATATTTTACGAGCATTGCTTTATTTTTAATTGCAGAATTAGAGTGCAAAACTTCAAAAGAAGGAGCAGAATATATAGGTACAGAGAACATGACTCGCTCATACATCCCATGTCAGAGATGGGATTCTCGTTTCCCACATGATCATTTGAATACTGAGTTAATGAAAGACCATGAAAATTATTGTCGGAACCCTGATGAAGAGTCTGAAGGACCCTGGTGTTACACAATGGATCCAAGGATTCGATGGGAGTCCTGTGATGTACCGTTTTGTGGTAATATATGTAGTGTTATACAATAAGTGACATGAGTATTCGTCACTTACAATTTTGTGCTTTAAGATACTAAGATAAGATAAGATAAGAAAATTAAGATAAGATAAGATAAGATAAGATGAAATAAGGTAAATATTATTTCCAATAGAGAACGCATTATGGACAAAATAAGTACAACGATTAGCACATTAAACAATTTATAATATAGATAATACTTAACGTCAAGCGGCAAATTAATATGCATATTCAGGACAAGAACATGTAAATGTTATGTCAATATCAACCCTGCTTTGTACTAGACCGATACGCTGAACCGGATTTTTAACATGCTAGTTCACAAGGTAACAGTCCGCAGGAAGACATATCACCTTACCCGGACACATTATTTTGACTCCGAGCATACCATTGTTTGCACTTACTCCGTAATGCCGCTTGCTTAGCGGAGAAGCAGAAAATACAAATTTTCAAGTCTTTCGAATGACCTGGCCGGGGTACGAATCCACGACCTCCCACACGCTACCACGAGACCACCGAGGAGGTCCAGTGAAAAAATAAACACATCGTGTATAGTAAAACAAAATGTTGCTTGTTGTACAAACAGGAGGATAATAAATGATTTAACACGTATTCTAATAGTTGACACGAATAAACAATGTTTCACAGAAGATGTATATACATGTAAATATCAACATTTTGATACCGACAAACCGACAACCTCGCCAGTGCCGTAACTCATAAAATAAGGTGATGTGGTATGGTTGCCAACTAGAAAAGTACTTAAACAACTATAGGTCACCGTACGCCTTTAAATCGCAATCAAATCTCATACCGTAAAGTCCACTGTGAAAGGCGCCTACATGACAAATTATAAAAAAAAATCAAACGGAAAACCAACGTCCCGATGTATGACAAAAAAATAAAAGAAAAACAAATATGACAGACACAAACCAACGACAAACACTGAATTACAGGCTCCCGACCTGGTACATGCACATATAGAATGGGCGTGGTCAAAAATGTTTGTGAGCGCTTAAACCTATAACCTTCAAAATTCATTTAGGAACCGCTCAATACAATGATTAGAGAACACTTGCTAATTGTTGAAATCCGACCATACGGTGATATTGTTACATATTCACTGTAGGAGTGGGGTTTGTTATATTCACTTTGTCTGTCCGTCCGTTCTTTCAGGAAATATTTTCATCTAGTTCACTTTTCTGAAGAATTACTAAATAGAATGACTTGATATACTTTATATTTATTAGCCGCTTGACATATATGAGTTGTAACGTGTAAGCAGTTTCCGTATTTATCCGACAGTATTTTTAAAGAAGGATATAAATTCTCATGAAAATGTTTTCCCGACATTATCTGAGAAATGACAAAAACATACAAGCTATAATTTACGTCAAATGTGAGGGATATTTCTTTATGAAAGTGATCGGACATTGCTTGAATTTCGTAGTGCAAAAAACAAAAGAGTTTACAATTATACCATCGAGTGATAGAAAAAAACCCACTATAAAAATCTTTATTTTTTTATAATGTGACGTTCCCTATTTGTTGTATTCTAGCATTTGCTTCTTTAAAGAAGATAAAAACTTTATACATGTGTTATATGAATAAACAAAATATATTTTCTATAGAATAGTTTGAGTCGTATCACGCACCCACAGAATACAATGTAGCTAGATTCTTCATTACAAATACATTATTTCACAGGATCAACCCCGGCGGTGCCATCTCACATCAAAAGTCAGATAACAACAACTTACTACACAACAGCCGCTTACGTCAATGCAACATCCGATTCAGCAGTATTCCCATCTCCTCTACTGGAAGACAAGAATGAATCACAGTCCCGGTGTAAATGCAGATGTTCTTCTAGTGAACAGTTGATTGACCAATCAACAAAATCAAGCGATCACAATTATACGAATGCAGAACTAAAACAGCTTATGAAAGAAGAGTTACGGGGAATTACAGAACAGCTGAGAGTTCAGAAGAATTTGACGTCTGCTTGGTTTAGAGCGCGACGATCTGCAGACGATCGAAGAATGACATCTGTCGGGATGGGTTATGTTGCCATTGGTATTATAGCAATGCCTTTTATTCTTACGGTGGTCAGCGATTGTTGTAAGCTAAAATAGATAGTCGGTCTCTATCTCCAACAGATGAAGTATCTAGTAGTCTGTGACTCGGTAAATTAATCAAATGACTGACATTGTTGTGATATTGTTTAATGTTTCTGAAGCATGCATACTAAATCAATAAAATTGTTATATTTTCAATGTAATGACAGTAAAAGATGGGAAATGGGCTATTTGTGTATGCAAGCCGGAAAAATGGTTGATACGTTTTTTTAAACGTGAAAAAATGTTTGATTGCTCTTTATTTATATTGTAAAAATATACAAAATCAAATACTAGCAATTTATCCAAAAAAAATGCAACATTTTTAAATTTACACTGTTAATATTATTGTTACCATAAACAAGAACAGAAAAATAAAACCCAGAAAACATATACATGTGTATAAATTAAAAGATTTTAAAATTCACAAACTTTTAGTTGTTGATTTATTCACACTATTGAGGTTTATTGAAAGACTGTTGGGCTAAGTTTTCAAACAAGACTGGTTCGACCTTTTTCAGGTTGATTATTTATCGCTGCTGGATAAGTTATAGAATCGGTTTCCCAGATTCTTTTCCACATTAGGACCAGAAAAAAAGTCTTTCACTCTTAACTCAAATTCGATACAACAGTTCCTTGTGTGAATTTGAGGTTCTAACAATATTGTAGCGTATCTCTGAACATGAGACAGGACACTGCAAAGACTATTGATAACATTTTTGGTTTCTAGATACTTGACTTTTTATACTCCCTGGAACATAAAGTTTATATTGTTTTTGGTTGATAGCTTGTTTATCCCATTATGAATTTTAACACATTTATACAGGTGAAACATTAACAATAATAGTACATGTGTTATTTGTCCATCCAAGCATAAATGCACTAGTATTTTGATCTCTGGAAATAAAAAGTTTTTTCCTCAATAAATGTGCAGTTGCAATTAATTAAAATCTGTTGGTACTGCCACATTTTCACTTTTTATAATATTGTTGATCTTAATCTAATGTTGATGGCGTATCTATGAAAAAGTTTTCATAAGATTAGCAAGCAAGGTCAATCATCTGTCATTCATACAGATAACATTTGTATGTTGATTATAGTTGTTTGCTTAACGTCTCAAAACAAATATTATGACAACTCCGATTAAAGAAATAATTAGGTAGATAGTGGACGTATACAAACGAATTACGTAGAACTTGTCACGAGACAGGGGTTCGAGTTGTATATGTACACATGTCTTTTTTACAACGAGTCCATGCAAATCACGTGACACACAGATACAGACATCTGGTATATAAACGTTTTTATCCTACAACTAGCCAACTATTGTACAAATAACAGGTACACAAATGCATTTTGCTCTATTTGTTCTTGTACAAATATAGTTTCCTCTTACTCCGTTTCCATGTTGAGCAAACGGTGAAGTTATTATAATTTCTTTTTGGGTGACAGTTTATTTTGGGATCCTCTTCGTGGTCCACGTTTAAAGCATGTCGATTTTTTTGAAAAATCCTAGACAAATATCTGCATTTAAGCAAGTAAACCTGAAAGTGCCGGGTGTAAATTACAGGATAAAAACAATATATGTACATTGTCAGAAATATAAATTTATTTGTACTCGCGTTTTGTACTGTTTTTAACGCTCGTACAAATAAATTTTAATATTTTCCGACAATGTACATATAATGTATTTCTATTCTGTCTGAAAAGCCGTTGCTCTGCATTTATAAATACATTTCGCTTGGTCGAAGGTCTTACTATAAAATGTAACCTCTAGCTTTATCCAGGTCGGACAACTGGGAAAGAAATATTAGAAAAAAATACTGTTGTGTGTAGAATATTTGATATTGTTTGATATTTTTAACTTATTTGACCTCTTGACGAAGCAAACTATGACGTTTGATATTAATAACCTATGTCATATATATGTGTGTATGTTTATAAATAAATACATGTATTTGTCGCATATTTATTTCCGCTTTCATGTGTAAATTTAGTAAGTATCTTAATTGTATATATTACATATCTTAGAGAAATTGGAAATTGTGCATAGTTAGAGAAATTCACCCTTCTGTTATTGTAAGTATCCTTAAGTGTTTTTAAAACTATGATATACAATTAAAAAACGATCATAATATTGTTTTTCTTTGTAGAAAATGTCACCATGAATATTTGTCGTTTTTAACTGTATACTATATACTTATGGGTTTTCTTCGGTTTGTATTTTTAGCTTAGTCACTTATATTTTGAATACGTCAAATTTGATCCAAAAGTAATTTGTTCATCAAGTTTTGAAGTAAATGTTGTTTCTTATTTTAAAATATAAATGTTCTAAATTTAGTATACCAACTATATGCCTCACTGCACAGAAATGTTTACAATGTACTTGTGAATTAATGCACCAGTTCACCTAAATATATCAATGCATTTGCAAATTTGTGAGTATTATATTATTATGGATGTGTGACTGTCGGCTATAGACCATTCCTTCTGAACGTATAAATGATGTTTCTGAGAACCGAAATAAAGATTTCAGTGATTACGTCCCATCCAATTAACGAAAAAGGATCAAATAACATGCGATCTGAAAAAATATAGACAAGACGGTTAATTGTCTACAAATACAATTTGTCAAATTCTACAAAAATTGAGAATTATTTTATAAAGAGATTAACGTTAACAACGATCAACAACCTAATATCTAATCCGTAGACAATATTAAGAGAAAATTATAATCTTTATTTATAAAAGGGAGGCAAAAGATACCAAAGGGACATTCAAACTCATAATTCGAAAATAAACTGACAACGCCATGGCTAAAAAAGAAAAAGACCAACAGACAAACAATAGTACACAAAACACAACATAGAAAACTAAAGACTGAGCAACACGAACCCTACCACAAACTGGGGGTGATCTCAGCTGCTCCGGAAGGGTAAGCAGATCATGCTCTACATGTGGCACCCGTGGGCTAATGGCATACAGTAATAAATTAACAAGAATACAATTATTAACAGACAAGAATACAACAATTAACAAACAAGAATACAATACAAATATAAGTATTGATATTATGATAACACCTTTACCATGTATGGGACGTCGGATATTGTTTAGTACATGGTCATTTGTCGTTGATAAACTAGTGTTTGAGCACGCAAACCTCTCTCTTTAAAACAGCCTCATTTTTACCCACTAAAACAGCATCATACTCACTAAAACAGCATCATACACATGTTAAAATAACAGCTGTGCAGCCTATGACGAAAGGTTTTAAATATACAAACCAATGTAACGGTTTGACTTCGGTTAGACGTGTGGCGTTCAGAGATATAAAAACTACAAAGATAGAATAAAAATCAAAAATAGAAATAGAAAGTTGTAAAAAAGTGTTACACCAAACAGAGAAAAGAAATTTGTGAAAAACACTGCGTTGCCTCTTGCAGATTTAGTCTTAAAAATCTTTAAAATCTTTTTTCGGTATACTTTAGTGTATATGCACCTTAAACTCAACTCGACAAAAATCCTACGTATCATATGATTATTTGACTATTTATTTTTTTTCCAGAAATTATCAAATTGTGGATCTGTCCGAAATGTTATACAGAAAATAGTCCTGACAATGGATCGTGTGATAAATGTAATACTATTAAGGAAGACAGTGACCATAAAGGTAAAGGTGCGTTTACACGATACGATTTTCCGTTCGATTTTCCATCCGACTTGATACCGTCGCACAGGTAAATCGTACGGCGTTCTGTTCACACGATACGATTTTCCATTCGATTTTGAACAGATTTGAACAAGTGCTTTTATTTTTCTAAACGCAACAACTTTCGAAATTATCTATACGGCATGTAATCGGCAATTATATTATTAGAATTTAAACAAATATTATTTAATTATTGATTGGCGACTGGTTAATGAATTTTAACCAGAGGCCCCCTGGAGCCTGTAAGCGCTCATCTTATTTACAGTAGCCAAGAAAAGATTGTAAAAAAAAATTTCAAACTGAAAAAGAATGCCTCAATAAAAATTTTCATTTGAAGTCTAATGAATGTCAAAACCCGTTTCCAAGATAAATTCTACCAAATTATGGTTCCATCTAGCCAAGTGATTTCAAACAAGAAGATTGTCTTAATGTGAAATGTGAACAAACGGACGACGGCGAACACCGGATGCAAACTAATGGCAATTATTCGCATGACTTTTTGGGGACAGGTGACCTAAAAATTGGAACTACGCGAATCTCCGTGATAGTCTCATCACACAAATTATGACAGAATTATTATGACGTCATGAATTGATGACCATTACGTCATTTATCCGAAAACGTCATCTTTCGCCATTTTCAAGAACGGTAAAGTTACAGAATGAAAAGTAAGAAGAAGAGAGCCTTGAAATACATAGTTGCTGCTATTGCCGCTAAAAGACAAACAAAAAAGGTTAAGCGGAATTGGACAAAACCATGGTTGACAAGAAGAGCAGATCTGGGTGTTTGCCAAACTCTGCTTAAAGAATTGTCAAACGAAGACAGCGATTCTTTTCGCAACTTTCTGAGAGTCAGTCCGCAGCAATTTGCTTACCTTTTGGATATGGTAAAAGACAGTATCACAAAGAGCAGTACCAATATGCGTACCTGTATCACAGCGGAGGAAAGATTATCACTAACATTGAGATACTTGGCAACAGGTACATTAATATCAGCCTCTTGTAGTCATTGTTAATTTTTTGTTGATTTTAAGCGTTAGAAGTTTGTTGAAAAAAGATAAACCAGTATTAAGTGGTGGTTAAATTCCATTATCCAGAAGTGTTATGCTTTAAAAAAAAATGTTCTATACATTTTTAACTGTACTGAATTGGTGGTGTAGTTTCATGGCAAACGTATCAATCGAAATCATCGTATAAATTATACACTTGATGATCTCGTATCTGTATTAAAAAAAAATGCATGCATCAATTATTAAGTAAACTCTCCAGAAGTGTTCGAATCATACGCTTGTACATAAAAGTAAATGTTATTGTCGAAGCTAGTAAATCAGACTATCATGCGTGTAATTTATTGTAGGTGAAAGTTATCGTAGTTTGAGTTATAGCTTTAGAATTGCACCTTCTACTGTATGCAGTATCATCCCAGAAGTTTGTGATGCACTGTACCAAGCATTAAAAGATACATATCTGAAGGTATTAAATCACGTAATACTGCAATGTTTATTCATATCGGTTGAAATTACTATATAAAATTTGACGAAAGAATGGTATCTTCATCAGATCATGGACGCAAAAAGAAAGAAATGCTCCACCGTACAGAACACATTATCATATGACAAATCAACAAGAATATTTTGTTACCGTGATATGATTTAGAAACGTAATGTTAGAATACACGTTATTTGTACCAGTACTATGAGGATCAGTGGAGACTCCAAACGCACAACTGTGCGCTGTAGCTATAGTACTTTCAAGGCAAATTTTGTTGTTGAAAAATATCTCATTTTATTACGATCCCTTGAGAATGCGTATTTTGTCATACAGACTTAGAATTAAATATGGTCGTTATAAGGGTATTTCTAAAAAAAAACAAACATAGATGTCTCAGGTGCACCTCAAATGAAATTGGTAATGAAAAACATTTTTTATTTACATGCACATCATCTTTTACTAGTAGAAACTGCATGTAGTCTTAGATTAATTCACTCTGTCCTAAATTGTAAGCACTTCATTCCTATCCAAAAAATGATCTGGCTACTTAAAGTAGAAAATGTTAATATATTATTATCTGTTTGTGATTTGATTGTTGAAGGCAAAACATAAATATGGCTTATCTGCACTAGGCATGAAAATAGCATGGTGGTTACCTATAATAGACATAGTTTTGTGGATA